CAAACAAAGCAAGGTTGCCATGACAAGAAGGAAGCCTTATTTCAATAAATCTGAATGGGATGAAATTTGCACAATATATTGACCATGTGAGAGCTTGTTAGGTTGAAAACTCCAAAAGGCGACCTAAGAAAAATTTAGAGCTTGAAAAGAAAGAAAGAAAGAAAGAAAGGGGAAGGAGAAAATAAGAAAGACAAAAGAAATGAAAGAAATAAATAAAAGCTAGCAAGATTGAGAACTCAAAAGAGCGATCTTGGCAAAGGTTAGAGCACGAAAGAAGAGAGTTAATACCCAAGTGAACCTGACCCTGAACTACGGACGGCCTGATTCCCATCCTTGGGATACATAGGCAACTTTACCTTGAAGTTCGACTCCGTCTCATTTAGATTCACCGACCGTAAGCACCTATCATCAATTCAATTACTTGAGTGTCTAACTTTTAGAATGAGGGCAAGTTTAGCTACGTAATTTAGTGGATTCGACTATAGAACTGTTTGATTAGTGAGCTTGCAAAAATTGTCATTTGGATTGTTTTTAAATGAAAAGAGTGAGTGATTTGTGTTCATTTCCGATTGACCATTTACATAACATTTTCAAAACAAAAGGAGCAAACTCTATTGCATTATTTTACTGATAATAATTTCAAACATGAAAAATGAAAGCAAAGCTAACTAAATCCCATTCAATGAAAACCTTTAAAAGCTCAGACAAAAATAAATGGGATTTACACTCTAAACTAGGGGAACCGTAAGCCAAGTCGAAATTACTCAGTCTTTTATCCCTTGTGTGTCTCAACCCACTGAACCTTGTCGTTGAGCCACTTAATGAATGCCCTCGATAGCCTTCAACTGAAGCCTTCTTTAGCTGTTATGAATACTCTATTCTGCTAAACTTTGGCATTTTCCTTCAAGTGGGAAGCCTGAAAAATGAAGAAAGAAGGATACGAAGGGGAACCCAAGTGAGCCACCTACTAATGCCCAAACTGCTGTAGAATCCGATAAGGGAAATAATAAGCCACGTAAGATAGGCTAATTTTCTCTATGCCCTGGAATTGGGGCATCTCTCGAGTCATGACTGGAAGCGCTAATCAGGAAAAATGCCAAGCTATGTCTCTATAAGTTTGGGAGTTCATCCAACCATACTAGTCTTCAAGAACACCAAATCATATCAAAATACATAATCACATTATGTTAAGGACCAATTAACATATTACGGAACAGGGGTATTACACCTCCAGTACCTTCAATTTGTCCATCAGCTACATCTGGAGAAAATAGAAAAAGAAAAAACAGACAAAAGAATAGAGAGGTGTGAGATGAGTGGAAAAAGTGAGTGACGGTGTGCTAAAAACAAAAAAGAGAGAGATAAAATAATAGAGAGGTGAAAGGTGAGAAACTAAGTGAGATGGGTGGTACCTGGAGTAATAATGGACTCTCACCAGATTCCACGGTCCTATCGACACAAATCTCATCCAAACACATTAGGGTCTTTGCTAAGACCAACCTAACAAAGCTCCTCCCGTTCTTAACTTGCTTGGCCACATTAACCAAGATAGGGTTAGCTACCATGTCGCTCGGCACCACTAAAAACCGGGCTAGCGTTCAAATACACAAAGCAACCCACATATACGCCTGAAACTTTTGGTCTGTTAGGTCCTACCTACCAGTGATCTTATCAATCAAAGTAATCCGAGCACAAGCTTTGGCTTCGCTTGGAAACAAACCACAGATCTCACAAAGTAACTTAGGATAGCCTATCAATGGAGTTGGCTACACCAAATCAGCTCTTGGAGGACACTCCAGCAAAGCCTCAAATTCCTCAAAGGTGGGGCAGAGTTCCTTGTGTCCAAACCGAAAAACATCGGATCACAAAACCGCATTGTCGCATGAAGGAATGGGAAGTCAATGTTTAGCTTGCTAAGAGGAAATAGGGAGTTCAGGCCATAACTGTGTAAGTTAACACGCTCAGCACCATCCAGACTATCCATCCATATTGATAAACCTTCCTGAGAAGACATAACTATAAGTCAAAGATGAAGAAGGAAGTTTAGGACCAAAGGTTGAGTGGAAAAGGGCTATGTGAATAGTCCTTCATGCAAAGTGGAGTATTTATAGACCAAAAACAGAGTAACGGTGCCTTGGGAGGCAAAACCCTAAAACTTGGACATTGCGCAAGTTGTGTATGCGCATGTGCCTTGTGCAGGCGCATATCCTTAGTGCGTGAGTACATCATGTGCTGATAGAGAAGTTTGGCTTTTCCAAAGGCATGGCACACTACATTCCAGAGATAGTGAGGGCATTCTAGCATCATTGTTTGAGTCCTGTTAGGTTGTTAGGATATTTGTTCAACATTTTTTACTTGTAATTTTGGTTTTATTATTTACTAGCATATCACCCGTGCTATGCACGGGATTAAATTTTTTTTTAAAAAAAAACTATTTATATTATGTCAAACATATTTATAAATTGTTAGCATAAAATATATGTAATTTTAAAAGAAAATGTTGACATTGCATAATTAAAGTAATAAAAATAAGAATTTATTACATTTGTTCGAAATTCACTGAATAAGTAAAACAAAAAAATAACTAAAATCTAAATTGTTGTGAACATTCCATCAACATTCCTGCATTGTCAATTCCTGCATTGTCAACATGATAGTTAGGTGGTGTTTGGTTATCATATTTGGCTAAATAATCCCATAAAGACAAAAAAAAAGTTCAAAAAATCACAGAAAGCCAAAAATCACAAAAAGACAAAAAAAAAATCCACTATTCCAAAGCTAAAAAGCCAAAAATCCAAACAAGAATACCAAACAAACAAAAAAGTCTTAGGCTAAAAAAGTCAAAAAGGCTAAAAAGCCAACTAAAAAAGTCATTGCCAAACAAAGGCTTAGTATTATAATTAATGAACAATCCATATATTATGTATTTATAAAATGTTATAAAGTAAAAATGTTATACTTAACATTTTTTTTTTAACCTTCTGAAATGTATAGACATTCTTCTGACCAATCTACATTTAAAAAAAACTAACTATAATCACACTTTTCTCTTTCTGAGTGTTTATATTTATCTAACTTCAATCATATTAAAAAATCAAATTATAATTCTTTTTTGGCTAGACCAAATACAAATAAAAAAAAAATGAGATAACTTCAATCATACAAATCACAAATACTTTTATGCTATCTAACTACAATAATATTTTTTTCATAAATAATTGTAAAAAGAAGAACCATTAAAGTTTTCTAAAATTTTTTTAGAGTGGTGCATTGTGTGGTTGAGATTTAATGATAAATCATATTAATTTTTTAATAACCATTGAACTAACTACAATACATCACTTTAAAAAAAAGAACCATTGAACTAACTACAATACAATCACATTAAAAAAAAGAACCATTGAACAAATTACAATCATATCACATTTTTCCCATAATAAAAAAAATAAATGAAAAAAAAAGAACTATTAAACTAATGACAATACAATCACATTAAAAAAAAGAACCATTGAACTAACTATAATCACATTAAAAAAAAAGAACCGTTGAATTAACTACAATCACATTTTTCTCTTTGTAAGTGTTTATATTTATCTAACTTCAATCATATTAAAAAATCAAATTATAATTTTTTTTTTAGCTAGACCAAATACAAATCAAAAAAGGAAATAACTTCATTCATACAAATCACAAATATTTTTATGTTATCTAACTACAATCATATTTTTTTCATAATAAAAAAAAATAATTGTAAAGAAGAACCATCAAAAACAGTAAATAAAACAATTAAATCACATTAAAAAAAAAACCATTGAACAAACTACAATCACATCACATTTTTCTCATAATAAAAAAAATTGAATGAAAAAAAAAGAAGCATTGAACTAACTATAATACAATCACATTAAAAAATAGAACCATTGAACAAACCACAATCACATCACATTTTTCTCATAATAAAAAAAAACAATTGAAAAAAAAAGAACCATTAAACTAATTACAAGACAATCTCATTAAAAAAAAAAAAAAGAATCATTAAACTAACTGCAATCACATAAAAAAAAAACGGTTGAACTAATTACAATCACTTTTTTTCTCTTTGTGAGTATTTATATTTATCTAACTTCAATCATATTAAAAAATCAAATTATAAATTTTTTTTTTTTACAAATCACAAAAGGAGATAAGTTCAATCAAAAGAACCATTAAAAGAACTATTAAAATAGTACACAAAAGAAGAAATTGCTAAACCAAATACAAATTATAATTTATTTATTTTTTTGGGTAGACCAAATACATCAAAAAATGAGATAACTTTAATCATACAAATCACAAATATTTTTATGCTATCTAATTACAATCATATTTTTTTCATAATAAAAAAGATATTTGTAAAAAAGAACCATTAAAATAGTAAATAAAACGATTAAATAATTATGAGGGGATTTTAACCAAATCTCCCAAAAGGTATGGGGATTGAGAGAAATTAATAAATACTGACTTTTTTTTTAAATTAAAAAATTAGAAAATTAGGATTGAGATATTGGAGCTCCCACAAGACTAATGGGTTAAAAACCCCCTTTTGCTTAATATATAGTATAGATAGATAGATAGATAGATATATAGATATAGATATAGATAATATAATATAGATAGATAGATGTGTTGAAATTTTCAATAAATTTTGTTTATGCTGGTCGTTAATGTATTAAAGTTTAATTATGAGGAAGTTTTGCCAAAATCTCCCAAAAGACATAGGGATTGGAAGAAATTAATAAATACTCAAGTTTTTTTTTTTAAATTAAAAAATTAAAAAATTAAAAAATTAAGATTGAGATATTGGAACTCCCACAAAACTTGTGAGTTAAAAACCTTTTTTTACTTAATATATAGTACAGATTTTTAGTCTTGATTCAAAATAGTCATTACTAGATTCACGTAAGAAACACAAAGGGTAAAGAATTTGAAAGAAATACTCAAAATTTTTAACAAAAGGGAAATCAGAATTCACTGCATACACTGTAGATTTTGAAACTATACAAAAGTTTTTACAAAATATGGGGCATCCCCCAATGGCATCATATACAATGTTTTTAAAAAAAGGAAAAATAGCATACACAAAGTGAAAAGCAAAAGAATCCTAAGGCTAAGGTTCATGAACCCAGTCAACCTCCTCGAGGGTGCTTCGAAGCACCCTAAGATGGACCCTCCTCTCCATCATCATCATCATTACCGCCGGGCTCAAAGTCTCATCAGAATCACTCCCTTCCGCAGCAGAGGCACCTCCTGCCTGGCCGGAGAGGCCAACATCCTGCAGAGAATTAGAAAGGGACTCAGATTATGCCAAGAATCTTAGAATAACTCAGGAGCGAGGAAGGAAATGGAATACCTCAACCGAACGCCCGTGGCAAACTCCTGGATCAGCACTACTATGCTTGCCATCGTCCTATAGCAATCCCCCACATGGCACGAGGAACTTGTAAAAAGGAGGGAACCCAAGATCAATAAAAAACAAAGACCAGATACAGGGGCAGGTATGGAAAAGATAGAAAAGATACCTGCTCACCTCTGGTAAGGACATGATAGGGCACTATGGTAGGCTCTGAGATGGGCATTGTCACTATGCCATGTCGCACCATCACTGATACGACAATATCACCGGCAAACCTTCCACTACTGCAACAACACCAATACCCCCAAACAGCACTACATCTAGGCCTAGGACCAGAATCTGACCCCGTCCTTGACCTCGGACAGCATGAAAGAAGGCAAGGTCCTTTGCGACTCCCATCAATCGTCCTCCTAGATAGGACCGAACATACTCCATATAGTCGTCGTCTATTAGCAATCCCTCAGCAGCGGTGCCACCTTAGACAAAGAGAAGCTCCTCCTCAATGAACGTATCTCCTGCCCTTATGCTAGTAGGAGGACACGCTGGAATCCTGGGCTGGGCCATGCCCAAAGATTAGTAGCAGACCTGCTCGGCCAAGTACCAGACGCTACATAACAATCCCTCTAGTAAGAGCCGCTATCGGGTGGCTTCCTGGATGGTTGGATACCAAGCCTCACTAGTAGGGGGCACAACTGCCCACGGGCACCACATGATCTGTAGAAGGTAAATTCGATGATCAGTATACAAACAACAAAAAATCAAGAATCAAGGTAGTCAAAATATGGATAGATCGGAAAGACTTACATGGTTATGAGTAATGGTATCGAGCATCTATCGATACTCAGCAACAGTAGAATGCAGTGGAGGATGTTGACTATCCTTATGCCTTCTCCGATATTGGGCAGCCTGAGAAAAGACATCCGAAGAGACACCTTGCGCCCCAGGACTCACCTTTGGAAATACTCAAAGAACCACACCTATAGGCAAGCTGTAGACCGCTCAAACTCTCTCCGCGCGCCCTCCCTTTTCGGAGAGGGTGCGAATTGGGTTCTAACTACTACAGTTCAGATTCCTGTCACGGTTCTAAGTCTAATCTCACAAAATGCAATGTAAGATTGATAAATCACCAAAGAGTCCAAATCCAGCAATTGGTTTTGAAAAATCAATTTTGAATCAAAAGCGCCAAACATGGACTGTTTTGCCAGATTTTAGAGTCACCACCTAAATATTTTATTTTTGAAAATTTAGGAAACCCTGACTCGTGCCAAAGGCCACATGTCCGTCATCTCCAAAGTTGTCTCGGCTCAAGAACTTGGGTACGAGAGGGGAATGTCATAACATGAGCACCCCAGCTCGCCTAATCAAAGGATCGGCCTCTACTAAGCATGATATGTTATTTTGAAAACACATGTGTTCTTATTCGGGTTTATTAGCTAACCTTACTATGTGATGCGCATAGCATACAAGTGTAGACTAAATCACTCAATTTGAAACAATACATCTCATGTACATTTTTCGAAAATGGTTTGGAAGTACTACTCGCAAGTAGGCTAAAACACGGATTTGCCATCCTCAAGTGAGCTTAAAACAACATGATTTTGCCACTCCGTAAAGTGGGCTTAAAACTCACATTTTGATGAATTGTTCCAATTCAAGTAATGAAGCCTTCATCCACAGGCATTCATGCAGTTATATCATTTAAGCAAATAGCCTCATGGAAAGCATGCTAAACATGGCAATCACTTACACTCATGTAAGGATACTGAAGCGTAAACACTTACAGTGTACTCCGAGCCAAAACAGAAGCTAGTTAGAAATGATACATGATCCTAACTACGTTAAGATGCCTAATGCAACACATGCAAAAATGCAACTAAAATATGCTCAGCTATCTAGAATGGCATATGAATGCAACACTTGATAACATGCTTTGAAACACGTATTCAAGAAAGTATATTGAAATACAATGCAGTTTGAATGATGTGCCGAGCTTGGTGCATGCAAGACAAATGAATGATGCACGCATGCAAGCATAAGGTATGCTAATCGAAATATGCCATAATCTAACCACTGAAAGTGGGTAAATAAAAGGGAAAAAGACGTGGGGTTGGAAGACATTCACACACGCACGCACACTAATTACAACATTTGCCCTCTCGACGGAGGGTTTGAATGAAAGAGAGCTAACTAGCTACGCTAATTAAGTTAACTGTTACAAACCAACTAATTCACTAACTATTCTAGTTAATTAATTACAACACAATTGAATAACTAGCTAATCTAAGCTAATTAGTTACAAACCGAATTAATTAATTAAACACTTAACTAATTAATTACAAAAATGACTAAGCTAACTAGCTAATTAGCTAAGCAATTTAAATGAATGGCCTCGGGAAGAGAGGGATGCATGCATGCTCGGTTGCTCTGCTTCCTCCCGAAAGTCCGTTACTTTGCCACCGGTTGCCTCTGTTTGCATTCGTCTTGATTCTTGAACACCGAACCAGTCTCCAAGTTGTTTCTGCTCCAGAACCAGAATAACTTTGGATCACCTCTGAGCCTGAGAACTGTCGGCCACTTAAGGAGGCTGTAGGACACTTCCATTGGCTGGTCTGCCACTTTCTCTGGCCGGTCGGCCACTTGCTTTTGCACACTCTAATTTTGCTGCAAACATAGTACAAAAGGGGCAAAGCAAGGCATTTGTAGGGTATGTGTGTACAACCACCCTCCTTATCATTTCTCAAGCTTAAAAGAGTATGGTACTTAGCTCTCGAGCCACCAGCCGAGCATCGCAATGCACAATGGCTGAGAAGCCAAGTTTGTACAAGTCAATGAATGCACAAATAGACTCGATGAAGCTTCCACCCTATCATGCACGATCAAGGGTGTCGGTGACTAAGAAATGAGGCACGTTTCATCACTTCAAGTATGAAACGCCCCTCGTTTCCCATGTTTGGATTAATGTCCGATCCAAACAAATGCAATGCAACACAAACATGTTATCTTGGCATATTTCACTTGGTCCAATTTTGTTTACACATTTTAAATTGCCGATGAGTCCTTTAACCGGTTAAGTCCAAAAGTGAGAATTCCTCTAATTGGAAAGATGGACCAAGCCACAAGCGTCTTGAGCATGAAAGAAGCATCATGCCGTTGGTTAGTAGAAACCCTCAAGAGAAGGCTAAAACCATTAGGCATGAGCCTCAATTCCATGTTCAAGCCAACAAGGACTTAAGACCACTTTCAAAGAGAATGAAAGAGTGAAGCATGGAATGCAATGGTATATATTCCAGCACTGAAATAGGATGCTAAATGACATCAAAGCATGAAAATGATACATGCAAGACATGGTCGGAGTCAAAAGCATTGAAGCTAGCAAAGAGCATAACACTAGAACCATGCAACACAATGCTCAAAGGACTAAACCAGCCCTAAACAGACCTAAGGCAAGTCAAAACAGTGGCCAAAATGTGCTGAGATGATAGCCTGAAAGGCAAGAAATGCATGCTCATGCGTTGGCTCATAAACGAGGCATAAGGCTCAACTCTTAAAAACACTTAAAGAGCGATATATGAGTGTACAATGGAAGTATATGCTCTGAAATACCATGCCAAATGATGACATATCATGCAAATAGCTAGAATAAAGCATGCTAGTGGGCTCAAAACTCAAGACTAGTGAAGCCATTTACACCATAGTTATACAAAGCAAGCCCCAAAAGGCCAAGACCACCCAAAACAGTCCTAAATCATGACAAAACAATGCCAAAACATGCATGGAGTATAGCTAACACATGCTAGGATGAAAGGCCAAAACACTAAGTACACTAGGCTAATGGGCATGATTGCACTACAAGTGCAAGAACCAAGCAAGAGGTGACCCCACCAACAAAAATCAGAGTTAAAGCATGTCAAAATAACACCAAAAACATGCTGGAGTGAAGCCAATATATGCTAGAATAATAGGCTAAATCATGAAGCATGTTAGGCTAGCAAGTAAGATTACACTACAAGTACATGAAGCATGCAACCAATGATCAAACAAGCCAAAAATAGAGTTATGGAAGGTCTAAAAAGTCACAAAAATATGCTTGGAAAAAGCCACAAATAAGTAGAAACACATGTTCATTTGATAGGCCAACAACACATGCAAACAAGATACAAAGGGGGGGGACCACCCCCACCAATTTTGGGTCCCAAAACCCACTTTCCACTACTGAAATTCCTCTGGAATTCGGTGGTTAAAAGGCCAAAACAAGGTGATCTCAAAGGCTTTAAAAGCTAGCATACAACAAAGCAAAATAAACCACAAAAGGGGGTAGACCACTCCTAACTCAAACAAGGCCTTAAACAACCATTTTTAACACTTAAAAATAAAAGTTTTTACAGTTAAAAGCTAAGCCAAAACAAGCATACAAAGATGGCTAAGTAAGCAACTAAAACAAAGCTTTAAAGAGGGTAAAGACTTACCCTTGAAGCACGGCAAAAACAACAGCACTACTGAGCCAAAAACCAACTTTTAGGCTCCAAACATGACCTCTAAGTATCTTAGCAACAAGGTAGGGTGTTTGGTTAAGAGGGTTGTGTACAAAGATGCAAAGAAAATACAATTTTAAGCACTATAGAGCACAATAATATATATATATATAGAGAGAGAGAGAGAGAGAATTCTAGAGAGAGAGTAGATTTTTTTGCTCCAAAAAATCTGAACCCCTTAGAAGGGGGAGACACCTCGTAGACATCCCATTTTTTACTACCCTTAAGACTTGGGCGTTACTAATGATTTATTTGGTGATGAAAGATGTGCAGGGCAAAGGTTCGATTTCTTCGGTAAGAGGAGAGTCAAATCCTAACCTCACATCCCATTTTGGACTAAAACTATTTTGAATGGTTTTTAGACCTTAAAACCCTCTCTTTCAAAATATTTTTGAAATAAAGTTCCTACAATGTTCCGAGGCTCGCATTTTGTCAAATTTGCGCTTTTCGGTAAACCGAGCAAAGACAAAGTGGAAATGAATGAAAGAGAGATGAAATCTTTGAAAAATATTTCAAAGCACCTTGTTTAGGGGTGTGGAGTTGAAGAAAAGAGGAGTGGAGGGAAGAAACCTAGTTGAGGAAGAAGTTGGGTATGAATCACTAAGAGAAAGTCGAGCGGTCCTCGGTAAATTAGGCCTATCTATCTATGAACTTAGACTTAAGCTATGTGGCCACCACGGTTGAAAAGAAGACTCCCGGGGGTTGATTTTTTATTCAAGAATCTCCTCAAACCGAGTCCAGATGGGAGAGATATGATTGGTTGAAGTTGGGCATCATTCCGGTTGAGCTGAAACTGAGCAATCTCCACTAAAAGAGGCATAACTTTTTCAAAGTTGGAATTTTTATGCAAGGTTTCCACCATTGGAAATATTACTTCCGAGGCTTCAATTTGGACACAAGAATGACCTAAAAGGGAGTTCATATGAAGGAGTTACGCCCATTTGAAGTTGGGCCTAAAAAGTATATTTTGTTGGCCGATCGGCCAAAAAAGTAGCAGATAAGTAGCAGATCGGCACAAAAGATGGCCGATTGGCCAAGAGTGACCCAAACTCGGATTTTTTGAAGATATTTCATCTCCAACTATTTCTAGCAAGCTCCAGCTGTCCCTAGCTTGGATATTTCGACCAAACTTGATATTTTGCTATATATGAGAACCTTATATCTCATTTTCAAGGGGTTAGAACTTCTTAACCAAGTTTGAGAGCTTCTCTCACTAAACTCCCTCTCTCTCTACAATTTTCAGAGTTTTGATCTCTGCCTCTCTCTCTCTAAAGCCTCTCTTTCTTGCCCTTTGGTGCATAGAAGTGCATAGAAGTAGAGAAATAAAACTAGTTTGCCTATGCATCCTTGATCAAAGTTGCCTATCTTTGGGAGGAAGTTTCTTGAAGCTTACTTGGGACTTTGTTTGAGCTCCAAAAGGTGTTTTGGCTCAGATTTTGGGCTGGTTTTGCAGCTATACATCAAGGGTAAGATCTTCCTCCCTTTAAGCTTGTTTTACACACTTGCT